CCCGACTGCAGAATCTTGTGGATGGTTTCATAAGAAGGCATAGATGTAGTTGGTAACTGAAATGACCGAGCAAGAAAATGTAAACATAAACATGAGACGTATTTCTACTCAAACAAGGAACCTCACTATTAAAAAATCTGGAAATTGAGCATCGACAAGATTAAATCGTTATAAGAATCAGGGTAGCATTTCCTCTCGTCAGAGATTTGTATGGAGCTACAGCTCCCATTGGCTAAGTTAACATCAACGACATTGATGATATTTTAAGAAAATTTCCTTCACAATGTACTTCCTGAATCGAATTCTAGGATTGTTTGTTGGTCTCGCATGAAAGTTCAAAGCCAGAATCAACGCAATTTGCTGGATCGCCCCATAAGCCAAAAGGGTATTGAATGTTATTGATGTCTCCACATGAAGAAGAACATTGTTGAAGTTTTCTTGCTTGTATTTCACTGAGAGAAAGAACAACAGAGAAATCAGAAATTTGAAAAAGTTGATGATTCTTCCCTTCTCATTATTTTTCCTCCCAGAGACGCCGTGAATTTGGAAAAACAATTTGATAAATGTTGGAAATATGCTCCATGGCCAGTAAAAATATATTTCATTCCAAAATCAATTATAAAATTACAAAAAAATAATAATAATTTTATTCCAAAATTACCCTTTTTCTAATCTTTTTTAACTTCTCCATTTCCCAACTCCTTTTTCTTTCTTAAAAACTCGTGATTTACAAACAGTTATGGAAATCGCATAAATACAAACCAAAACAAGATTGGAAAGAATATTTCATGTCATGATTTTGCAAAATTATGACTGAAAATATTTTTTCCAACCTTTGTTTTGTTTGTTTTTTAGGGTTTCATAACTTTTTCTAAATCACAGTATATTGGAGCAAAATTTCATTCACTTCCAAAAAATAATAAACAAATAAAAGGAAAAAAAAAATATTCAAGAAGGATTTGTGTTGTCTATTTGTTGTTTATTAATCATGATTATATAACTGAGAAATTAAAAGGAGTAAGAAAGAAGATAAATTAAAAAAAAAAAAATAGGAAAGTAAAAAGCTAAACAGGATAAGGATAAGGTTAATTTTGGAATAAAAAAAAGTATTTAAATTTAATTGATTTTGAGACTTAAAAAGAGTTTAAGTGAGAAATAAAAGCATTCTAAATAATTTTTCCATCATGAGATAGGGTGAAATGGCCCTTAATTTCTGGGGAAAAGCCTTCAAATCTAGAGGGTCTTCGGTGCCGAGGATACCATGGGTATAATAAACCAATGCATTCATATGAAAACAATTATATACCAAAGAGTAAAACTACTGTTCCCACCCAATGTTTAGCGTAGCGAAACCGCAAGTTTCTATCCTTATATTTCATTTATTCCAATTCTCATCTTTGATTTTAACTTAAAACTGTCTCACGTTAGCATGTCAACGTGCGCCGGTGCTCCTTTGGGCTAAAAGTGGACTTATGTTAGCAAGAAAGGCTACGTTAACATTGTCCAAGCCGTCGGACTTTGGCTTTTTCCGACCGATCCCAACTCTAAATAACTTCCAAGACCATCGTTGGACTCCTCACGACCTCCTTTACAAAGCCCATAACCCACTTGCCGTCATCACTCACTTTTCTGGCCACTCTCACACTTGCCACCTTGCGATTGGGTATATTCTCGGGTTTTCTGTTCGATCGGAGAGCAACCGGCGTCATCAAACTACACAACAGACTCTCCTTGGGTCTTAGTTTGTGTGGGGTATTTTTTTGGCCCTTTCTGACTTCCCGTTCGCCGGAATCGAAGCCCAAGTTATGGCTGCCCATGCTCGATAAAAGGATCAGTCAGTTTTCTATTCCCACCCTTTGTGAACAGTCACAGACGGGTTTTAATTAAGGGAGGAAATCTGGATAAATGAAACAAGGGGGTGAGAACTTGCCATTTCGCTAAAAACGTTTACCCTTTACCAAAAGATATCTCATATTTAAGATATTAACCCAAAACTGGCCATAAAGAGGCCCTTAGTTTAGTTTAAGTCCAGCATAAACTTATATAGACGTTAACCCAAAGAGTTAAAACTAGTATATAAAGAGCAGAATTGGTTCTTTAAGCATAATCAAATATCTCAAACTTATTACATTGGTTTCAAATGTCATTACATTGTGTCTTTAATATAGAAATTTTAATCCTTTCATCGTCTGAAGAAACAAAGGCTTTGGAGGTACCCCAAGCTTTGTGAATCACCTTCAAGCATTTGTATTACCATTGGCATTGAAGGTCGTTCTGGGATTCCATTGTATGCACCAAGTGCAACAATTGCAAGCTTCTTGACAATTTCCTCATCTCCATCTACCTCAATCTCCAAATGGAGCTCTTTTTCTAGATTCATTTTGGTTGTATATCCACTCAGGAAGAAGTAAATTTGGCTTTGATTTCAATTGTCGAATCCATATTCTTTCGCGATCCAACCATCTAACAACATCATACCATAACTAAACACATCAGACTTGTAAGAAATATCTCCAAAGTTCCTAGAGAAGAGCTCGGGGGCAATGTATCCAGTAGTTCCTCGAGCAACTGTCAATGAACAAATACTTTGTTCCTTTTAGCATAGCTTGGCAAGCCCAAAATCCGAAATTTTTGGTTGATAATTATGGTCTAGTAGTATATTATGTGTCTTGATATCAAAATGAAGGATCCTTTGGTTGCATCCTTGATGCAAGTATTCTATTCCACGTGCAACACCAATTGCAATGCTTTGCAATTTCTCAACTCAATGGGCGAGATTGGGTTGCTAATCTTTGAGAAGATGAGTTTCTCTAGAGATCCATTGGGCATGAACTCGTATATAAGAGCACGTTGTGTTCCTTCCGAGTAAAATCCTAAGAGGCGGACAATGTTAAAATAGTGAATTCTACCAATAGTAGATTTTCAGATGAACTCTTCACCATCTCCCTCTGAATGTTCCAACATCTTAACAGCAACCGGAACTCCATTAGAGATCTTCCCTCTAAAGACACTTCCGAAACCTCCTTGGCCAAGTCTATGCTTAAATTTACCGGTTATTTTCTTAAGTTCACGGTAAGCATATCTGGTTGGACTGATGTCTTGTAGTCTTCAAGAACTTCTCCACTTTAGTTGAGTCTTCTTTCATTTTCGGATTTCCGCATTCGTGAACGAGAAGTATCACCAATGCAAAGAACGCAATGGCTCCAATAACTGTGAACACCGAAATTAAAAGTATACGACCCAGCTGGGAATCTGCATATTGAAAGAAAAACATTTAGTGTCTGTTCCCCTTCTTTTGTTTCCTATACTCTGTTTGCCGGCATAAAAGTAATTTGAGAAGCAGATGCCATATTCAACTTCAAAAATAGAAAATTTTAAATAGAACTCTAAGAAAGAAGAGGGAAAATTTAAGGATCTTACATTTGTGTCTGATACAAATTGTGTTGCTTGTAGTGTTGAAACACAGTATTTCCCTGATTTTTCACAGCCATAGCATCCATCAATAGCATTCCATTCAATGTCGATGCTTCGTGTTGTAAAGGCCCTCACCTAGCGTCCTCATAAAATAAGTGTCAACCACATGCAGAATACTAAATGTTCCATATACGCTGTAAAATGAAGGCAGAGAGCTGCTGGACTCATGTTCATCCATTGCGTAAAAAAGATTTATTTCATCACTAACATAAAGGGTCCCACTGCAGCAAAAAAATCTGGAATAATTCTCAGTACAGTTCACTACAGAGTAATTGTTCTGTTGCATGTGGGTAATGAATCTGGACTCTGAGAAGTTAGGAGAGTGATAGACTTGCAGTGAGCATGGTGTCTCATTCACATCCATGATGGTTACAGTGTTTCGAAGATAGTCAACTTTTTGCACATAGTACTCGCCGGAGAAAGGAAGATGCAACAGAGTTTTGTTCCCAGAGCATGACAGTTCAAACCCTTCAAGTCCACAAAAATTTGATTGATTTATGAGTCTAAAGGGAAAACGGATTCGGGGGCCTTTTGGGCAGCAAGATGCGGGTTTACAGAATTCATAAGCATTCTGGTCGTTGTTTCCAGAAGTGTTATTTCTGGCTTCTGAGTAAGGTAAGAGAAGAAAGAAGATTATACTTATAGCAGAAGGGTCATGGAGACAGTCGAACAGAGAGAAAAGTAGAGCTTGAGAGAGGAAGAGGGATAGAGGAATTGTCTAAGTTTGGCCTTTATGTGGCAAATAGCAAATTTCCGATAAGGAACAGACAAGCAAGAGTTAAAAAGTTTTCCAACATTAAATCTTCCATCGCGAGTCTTCTTGGAAACAAGTGGAAATGAATAAATTTTAGGAGGTTTAATTGACCAGACTTCTCACTTTTGTTCATTTTTGTTTTTTTCCCGTATCAATTATCAAGTCCAAAATAAAATATTATTAGTGGTAACAGAGGCGGAACCAAAAAATAATTTTCAGGAAGACCAACAATTTTGAGCATAGATAAAATATAAAAAAATATATATATATACTGTTGTTGTTGTTGTGAGGAAATTGCATTGATAAGAATGTCATAGTTAGTATAAGTTTTAGAATACTTTTCTGAATTGGTTCTAATCAGTCTTCCAGTTCAGTTCGATCTAGAAGGTTTGCTTCAATATTGTTTCAGGTTTTCCATTATCACCATCAGAGTGTGGTTTTTTTACCAGTCAAATGTGAAAAAGCATCATAAGGTTCACTGTTAACCTTTTATTTAACAGTCAAATAATCATTTTTCATTAACAATAGAGGTTTTTACTTCTTTCAGAAAACAAAGGGGGTGATTTCATTACAAGATAACTTCAAATCGTTTAAAGCAATTAGCCCTAAAATAGAAACAGTACAATACACTATAAAAAGCCCTTATTCTACAAGAATTGATTGTTCTATTGATTCAGATAATTGCCACTCAGTTGAAGAATAGGATTCAGTCCCTCTGATGGAGGTATGTTGAGTAGAAGAAAAGAAAGGCTTAGGAGGCATCTGCAATTCATCAACGCTTCCTTCTAACATTTCCGTAACTTTGGTCATTGAAGGACGATCTACTGGCTTCACTTAGAATGCACCGTAACCTAATTATACAAAGTTTTTTCGCTATGACAACTTCAATTTCAGAAACATTTGGGAGCTCTAAATCTTCTCCTAAATTTATTCCGTCATATACCCACGACGGGAAGTATGCTCTGCTCGAACGAGCTGTCCTCTTATCAGAGTCCCTTCTTCCTCCGACCATTTCCTGTAACAACATCCCAAAACTATAAACATCGGACTTGCATGAGATGGGTCCAAAATTCCTTGAAACTAACTGAGGAGCTATGTACCCTATAGTTCCTCTTGTAGCACTAACAGACACAAAATCATTTTCCTTTGGATAAAATTTTGCAAGTCCGAAATCCGAGACTTTTGGGTGAAAATTGTGGTCTAGTAATATATTATGAGGCTTGATGTCGAAATGAAGAATGCACACATCACAGCCCGCAAGAAGATACTCAATCCTACAAGCTGTTGCTAAAGCAATCTCATGAAGTTTTGTCCAACTGAATGACGTCGTACCTCTATCTACTTTTGAGAAGATATGTCTATCAAGAGGCCCATTAGGCATTTACTCATATACAAGGGGACGTTTAGATCCCTCTGCACAAAAATCGACCAATTGCACCACATTAACATGATGAATTCTACCTATCGTAGACACCTCATTGATGAATACCTATCGTAGACATCTCATTGATGAATTCTTCAGCACTGAACTTGGAGTTTTCTAGCACTTTAACAGCAATTAAGCAGCCCCTGCGAAGTTGGCCTCAAAAAAGGGAAGGCACGCCAGCCACGTGAATAAAAATTAAAGGTTTAGGGTTTAGGGTTTGTTCATCAACCGATAATGACATTAACTTGATCGTTGGAGTCTACGCCAATAAAACCCCCACTAACTATTCCTCTATTTTATAGGTATTGTAGTGTAAACAAATACATTGCCTTATCTCATATTTGAATATCATCATAAACTTTCTCCAAAACAATCCTCAAAAGTCAAAACCAACTTTTATATTCAATATATGAAAGAAACTGGAGCCAAATCTTAAAACGAAGTTGAATGAAACTTAGCCAATGAAAGAAAAAAAAAATTGTCCACATTTATGTTATGTGTACATTGTGCCATTATTAACTAATAAATATTATATTAATACAGAATTACTCATGTTTCATGTTCTTAATTACTTTACCATGATATGAACAGATGATTAATATTTAAATTGGTAGCCAGCATTGGAATAGTAATCTCATTTAAAATGCTCTATAATCTTTAATAAAATAATTAAAAACCTATAGTGAAAGGAATAAAAATGAGAAAAGCAATGTAAAAACAATCTGTTGAACATCACTTTAAATCCTAACCCAGTAGTTTAAAAGGGAAGTATTTCATAATAATTATTCAAGCTCCCAACTATTTCATAAGAAAACAAATTAAAGGAATTTCCTTTGTCGTGTCAATCGACCACAAGGTTATCTCAGTATCAAAACACGTGAGTATTTATCCTACTTCTATTAAACTACTGTAATAAAAATTCAAATAAATACGCTCTAAAACAGAGGTGAAGATTTAGCCCTCAAGTAACACGGCTGTGTGGTAGGGAGCTAAAGGGGGGGCTTGATGTTATGATTTTGCTGACAGAAGATAGAGAGCACACAGATAAAATGCGATGAAGCAATATTGCATTTTAAGCCTTTGTGCTCTCTGTGTTCTGTCAACATAATTAGCCTCTCAAAAATCCTGGTACTATTTCTCTGACTCATTTCATTTCAACTTTAAATTTGATCATGTAAATCATTCTCTGAATATTTTATCATTTCATTTCACAAAGCAACTCTTATGGCTTGAGAGAAGCATTTATAGTTTCCAACTCAAGGGATTTCAAAAAAATGTTGGGCTTGATGTTGATGACTGACCAAAAGTCGTTGGTTTTGGCTGTGAGCCCATTTTGTTTTTTAATAGAGCTCAACCTGAATCCCGAAAGAAAAATTCGTGTTAGGTTCAAGTCATTGCGATGATAAATAATTTTTCATTCCATTAGCCTACAAGGTGATAAATCGTCATTTAATCCTCAACGCTACAACAGAGGATGAAATACAAGGCTTGTGGGGTATTAGGGTTGCAGAAATTAAAGGCAACCAGACAAAGACAAAAAAAAAAAAAAATTGCCACCTGATTATCAAACCCAAATATGTAATTAAAGTTAAAAAAAAAAAAAAGTTCGTTTTTTATAAGATTGAATTTTTTTGTCAAAAACCGTAATCGAAATAGAGACTTTGGAAGATAAAGGAAAGCACAATTTCAAGTTATGAATCAACAAGACAAACAATAGATAGGAGTTATCTTGCTCTGGTAGGTGAACAATAAAATATCTATTGTTGCCAATATCACAAGGTAGAGTGACATGTTAAGATGATGATGATAAAAGTGTCAAAGTCTAAGAAGGGACAACATATTTAATTTGGTAAGATGAAATTACTTGTACATATTAACAAAGTTTATAATTAGCTGCATCAAAACTGTCCTGAAAGCAACTGACAGCAACACTCTCAATCAATGAACCCATTTTGTGTTTAAACTACATGTGCCAATGAAAATACACCTTTCTATTTCTTGGGTCACCCAAAAAAAAAAAAAAAAAAAAATTTATTAATCAAAATTTTTAAATAAAATAAGATTTAGAATTACATTTATGGTCTGGAATGTTATTAACATATGATACTTTTGCACTTTTCCAGTTTTAGGGAAGGCCAATTTTGGTAGATTTGGATAACCCGAATGATTTATTGAGATAGGATTACTTTTGCACTTTTTACAAATATATTATGAGTTTATTTCATCACTTTTGGCACTTTTATGTAAATATTTATTTTGTAATAATAATAACAATAATAATTAATGTCTGTTATCCTAATATTTTAAATTTTTAAACCTAAATAAAAAGCATATAATTATTATAAACGAGTGTTTATACAAGAGAACCCACTTTTATAAACACTAAAAAGTGATAAATTTACAACAAAAACAAAAAAAGAACCCATATGATATAGCGGCCCTCAAAAAAAAAAAAAAAAAACCCAAAATTAAAACTAAAATTCCTAAAAAAGAAAGAAAAAAAAAATACCTCTAAAAATTAAAAATTAAAAGAGAAAGTTTATGCTCAAAACAGCCAGGCGCCAGCAACCCTCTAAAAATTACTTCTAAAAATTACAGAAAATATATTCGTCGATCATCACCATCAGCATCATCCATGATGCACATGCACACCACAAAATCAATCTAATCTCACCGACGCAAGGGAGAGGAGAGCCACTCAACAAAATCCTCCGTCACGTGCGTGCGCGTGCCGCACACGCTTTGGTTCGAGGGAGCGGAACCGAGCGGCGATCTGCACTCTGCAGAGAGGGCAATTGAAATTCCGGTGATTCAGCCACCCATCAAAGCAATCCTTATGGAACACGTGGCAGCAATCCAGCTTCCTCACCCGTTCCCCATCTCTAAACTTGCACAAACACACCACACACTCTTTCTTCCCGCCGCCCCCGCCGCTGTCGCAAGAATACTCGTAAGAAAACCGACCGTTTATCTTCAACTGCTCCTTCAGAATGATCAGCCCCGACAGACCCACGTCGATGTCGTCAGGGTAGAGGCGGGTCAGCCCCAGGGAGTGGAGAAAGCCGTTCAAGAGGGACCAAACGGTCGCGACGCAGTTGGCGAAGAGTGCGAGCACCAAGACGGGGAAGGAATCGGCGGCGAGGTCGTTCAAGTCCTGATGCAAACCCATGATGATGATGATGATGATGATGATAAAAAGAAGTTTGAGTTATATAATTTATGTTGTTGAAGAGAGAGTGAAATATATAAGGGGAGAAAGAGAAGGAGAAAAGAGGAGGGAGAATTAAGAAGAAGCTAAGGCCATGTGTGTTGGGACAAGGAGAGAGGGATTAGTTTAATAGAGAGAGATTATGAGCTTGTTATTGGATCGTCAATATTTGCCTATTCGGCTTCTTAGATAAGGTTTTGGTTTTTGTTATAATTAATTAATTAATTTTTTTCAATATATATAAATTTACAAACTTGAAAATTCTTAAGTGCCGATTAAAGGTGAGTCTCGATAGGTGGTTTTGATTTTAGGGTTTGTGAAGTTAGAAATCGAATGCTTATTTTTAGTTCGCACTTTAAAATTTCAAATCATCCACATTAGAGATCAAATTTATATCAATCATCTCTGAACGTCCTAAATTTGTTAACATTTGTTACACATATTAAAAACTTTAAGACTTTCACATTTAATATATATATATTAAATTATTATTATATAAAACTAAAAGTAATGGTTGGTTGTAGTTATTGAGTCTAATATTATAAAAAAATAAAGTTATTTATATAAAAAGGTTTGTACAGACATTATGTGAGTCTCACATGATGTAAGGGTCCATATAACATTAATGTAATATTAAGTCACATGGACCCCAATGTCATATGACATGTTTTGTGACACGTCACGTCAATTTTTACAAACTCACTTTATATAAGAGTTTAAGAGTTTGTACAAATAACATTACCTATTATAAAATGATTGAATGAAAGAACTTTTGAATAATACGAAATAAAAGAGTAAAACATTTTAAGGAGAAAATTAACTAATATCATCTAACTTAACACAACATTTTCCTACTAACTTACCTATTATGTGAATAACAAAAAAGAATAATGTAGAGTGAAACAATATTTTTGTAACGCAAATAAGAAAAGAAAAATGAATGTGAAAAAAATTTCGTCATGTATGAGATATCATTTTGGAAGATCATACAACAATATCAAGTCTAATAACATTATTAGTTTACTCTGAGTCGGTATTTTTGTTTCGAGTAATGATAAATTTATACATATAGTTGTTAATTAAGATGATGTTTTGGGTTTTTTTTATTTTTTCTAAATAATTATAAAGAGTCGGCAGGATATTTGTGGAAATCTCAATCTATAATTTAAGTTAGGTTCATGGTGGCAATCAGTGATAAGAGCTATTGTTGAGTGAAGAAATTCAAGTTTGGTATTGGTGGATTTCAATGGAATAATCATTCATCAATTTCGTAGTACTTTCCCACCTAATTGAAGTCTTTTCTATGGACACATTGTAAAAGTAAACCAATTAGAGAAAAAAGAAGAAGAAAATAAGTATGTGGTTCATCATCTTTGCCTATCCTATTCACTAATCACTATACAAATCCATTAAAATCCTCCTTTATCCTATTAAGGAAATAATGAATCTTATACTATTTAGTTACTAAATAAGTTTAAAATAATGTTTTATTTTAAGAATTTATCGTTAACTTGACTTAAACGGTATGTTGAAGCTTTTTTTTAAGTCTTTCTGATCACTTTATATTCTTTATATTACACGTGATGTCATACGTGTCAATAAGGAAATATACAGTTGTAGCATCTTCAACACAATGTGTGAGTTGAACACAGTAACATATTATGTTGTATCAAGTTAGTACTCAGATTGGGTTTCATATTGTTACCATCCCACTGGAACTTACATTTTTAGTTAAAATTTAATTTTG